GGATGCCACCCCAGCACACTCCTCTCTGTCCCTCCTCCCCATGGTACCCCGAGGCTTGCTCCAACACACTGCCACTCTGCTCCTCCTCCCTATGGAATCCCTGGAGCTCACCCCAACACAGAGTCCTTGGGCAGGTCTTTCTGTCATGGTTTTACACTGTAGACTGCTTATGCTTTTGAATATTAGGTGTGTGTATGGGTGTGTGGTGTGTGTATGAGTGTGTGGTGTGTGTATGAGTGTGTGGTGTGTGTATGGGTGTGTGTGTATGGGTATGTGTGTATGGGGGGCATAGGGCAGAAGTTGACCTCAGGTATTCTTCCCAGGTAATACCTTCCTTGGTTTTTTTGAGACGGGGCCTTCTCACTGGTCTGGAACTCACCAATGAATCTATGTTGGCCATGATGCCCAGGAATCTCCTAGTCTCTGCCTTTCCAGGAGGGGATTACAAATACATGCCACCATACTGGCTTGCTTCAGGGGTTCTGGGGCCTCAGACCTAGGTCTTCATGCAAGCACTTTACTGACTGGGTTATTTCTTCCATTTCTTCACTGTTGACGACCTTTGCTTCAGTTTATCTTGGTCACTCTCCTCATGTATGAATGAGTAACAGACTTGGATTCCAGATTCTGAATGTTGAAGGCCAGTGACTTGCCTTATGTGAACCTGGCATCCTGAATGCTGGTCTCAATGTCTAGGTCTGATGTACCTGTGTATGTCTTCCTAGAGTGGACCTGCCATCTACCGATACCTTTCATCCAGCTCTTGTAGGCTTATAACCAAAGGTTGTTCAACACCTGGGACAGAAATACCAGTGAGAAGCATGGGATACTCTCCTACCTTTCATCCCAGTCCGATATGTGTGCTGAACATACTTCAGACCCGACACAATATCCTTGTTCACCTGTAGGTGAGAAGACCCCAAGAGATTCAGATTAAAGACTTTCATTTTTTTTTAAAAAAATCTTTCCTCGCCGGGCGGTGGTGGCGCACGCCTTTAATCCCAGCACTCGGGAGGCAGAGGCAGGCGGATCTTTGTGAGTTCGAGGCCAGCCTGGGCTACCAAGTG